GCCGGTCGTCCTGGGGTGTGAGGGAGAACAGGGGGTTGGTACCGGCGAGGGCGTTGTTCTCGATGCCGCCGTCTTCCTCCACGCCGCCATTCTCTACGGTCGTCCACGAGGACGGGACAACGGAGATCGGCATGAAGGCCCGGGGGAAAGACTGCGCCGGGTGGCCGCACCCCCGCCTGCCCCCGCCCCCGCCCCCGCCAGCGGCCCGCGAGTTTCTCTTGCGGTAGGAGCCGCCGCCGCCCCCGCCGCCGCCGCAGATGCCACCGCCGCGCAAGTAGCAGTGGGCGGTCCATGCCAGCACGGCTAGGAAGACTAGCCCCCCGCCGAGAGCGGCGAGGAGGATAACGGTCATCGAATGAGTATCGTCGTTGTCGTTGTCGTTGTCGCCGACAGCAGTATCACGGCTTAAACGTTCCCGTGGGTTCTCTGCCTGAGCTAGCTCGAAGGCGGGAGGAGCGACGATACTACTGCTGCTGCTACAGCGGTAGAGCTGCTTTTTTGGTCGACGCCGCCACGTGTAGTTACACACGCCTCCCCTCCGCTGGTGTCACCACTCGCTCTCGCTTTGCTTGCCGCCGGGGGTTCTTGGGGAGAGTCCTCGTCGTTGTGATGGCTTGAGCACTGGTGTCACTGGTGGTATAGCGGTGGTGGTGTCACAGCCCTTCCGTCTTGGCGGCGAGGAAAAAAACACATGGCAAAAAAAAAACAAAAGGCGTCGACGGGAGGGATCATTTATCTGTGGTTAAGGGGGGCGGTGCTTGCCTGGTAGGCGGGGACAACGACCGAATGACAATGAATGACGGAGAGAGAGAGAGAGAGAGAGAGAGGCAGACAGAGACAGACAGTGAGAAGCTGAGACAGAGAGATTTTTCCGGGCAACGCAGAACACCGCAGCAATGATCCCTCGTCAGTTATCGCTGCTCACAGTCATGCTTTTTTCTGACTGCCATATCTGTTGAAAATACACACACACCTCGTCCGTCTCTCGCGCCATTAGTTCATTCAACGCAAAGAGAAACGAATATCAATCCGTGGTCTAAGTAGCAAAGGGTGGCAAGTTAGCAAACGACAATGAATTGATTGCCAACTAGGCATCAATGAATGGAGCACGCCGAAAATGGTTGACACAGCAATCGACCAAACAAAGTGGCGAAAAACACTGCTGGTTCGAAACGTAGACGACTCTGGAAGGGTTCATTGCCAATAAGTTTCTACTCCTGCTGGACTGGACCAGTCTATCTACAATACTGCTGCATCTATCTGTGAAGGAATGAACACGATTTTGTACCTAGTTTTGCAATGCAGGGAACAACAGCCCCGAAGGGATATTTCTTGTGAAGAATGAACCCAAGTACTTATGGATTGAACCTATCTAGTACACTTACCTAATATCTGAATGCACACCTGACTACTGCCGGCGAATGAAATTTCGTCGGGAGCAACCACGACGACGACGAAATTTCGTGTTTGAATAAATTTCGGTTTCCCACCATACTAACTATTCGTACGTTGGTATGTATGCGTGTTTGTGGTATCTCTGCTGCTGATGATATCGTCGCGAGTCACTCATCCACAGAAGGTATCCTACTGCTGCTGTGTGTGTGTTTTTTTTTTATTATTATTATTAGCATCGACCGCGCTAACCGGCTGACCAATGAAAATACGTCAGTCTTAGTGCGGTTGAAAACACAAAAAAGTGTGTGTGTGTTTTTTTTTTTTATTATTATTAGCATCGACCGCGCTAACCGGCTGGCCAATGAAAAGACGTCAGTCTTAGTGCGGTTGAAAACACAAAACACTTCTAAATGCCATTGACTGGGACCCCGTGAGGGGGCGGCATGGGGGAGACTTAAACAATTCTCCGGATCAAAGACAACAACGGTAGCAACAGAAGAAAACTGCACATGTCTACGAAGGCTGCTACCTTGCACTCGAGTTCGTTTTGGAGTGCTTTCACCATCCTCCTTCCTTCCAACTCTATCGTCCCCATGGTCGTTTTCACAGCAACTTCTCGGCATTTCTTCTCTAGCCCCGCGTCGTTTGTGGTGGGGAAGGTCATCTGGCTCGAAGCTCTTGCTCTCTTCCACGCCATTATTCCCTCCTCGACTGCTGCTTTGGTCTCCCTTGTCCTCCTCCCGTTCCCTCTCCTCCTCCTTCATCGCTGCCAAACGAATCCCCCTCATTGCCATCCTGGTCGTTTCTATCTGCACTGCTACCGAGATCCCAACCTATTTTGGCCGTGGTGGGAACTGACCTAGAAGTAGTCCATGCCGTTTGAAAACATCACGAGTTCGTACGGAACGAAAACGAGCCAGCTCGAAGGTAAACCGTCTCCGAATCCCATTGGTATGAATAGCCTTTGGGCGAAGCAAGGCTGTGTGTGTATTTATTGTGTTTGTTTGTGTGTGTGTTTGTCCTATTCATTACGGCGACAGTCCCCCCCCCGTTTTCGTGGTGAGACGTGTACTACACTCTTCAGTGTATGTAGTACTAGACAATTTTCAGTGTATTTTTTCGTACTACAACCATCCAGGGTCACACAGGAGGGAGTAAACACCAGGGCTTTGTCTTCTTCGTGTGTTTTCATTTTCGTGCCCCACCGTGCTGATTTTCATTTCTTATTTTGTCAGTATGACCCAACGAATCCATCTCTTCTATCGAGGAAAAGGGTCTCAAAGATTAGCGATGAATCCATAGCGTCAGCGAAAGTTTTGGTTTTCCACGATTTCCCGAGCAAGCACACTGTGATATCTCCCCTCCCTGTGGGTAACAGGGTCAACATGAAGACAGTGTGTTGGTAGCCGCCTTGTGTAGCTATCTGTCTGTCTGTATATTATGCTGGGAAGGTGTTGGGTAGTTGGTTCGGCGGGTGTGTGAATGCATGTGGGCACCATTCCTTTATAGGATGATGGTGGTGTGTATCTTTAGTAATAGGTAATTTCAGGTTTTGTGTGTGTGTGTAACAAAATAAATACCGTTGTTTCATGTGTAAAGCACTTTATTTTTATCGCGAGAACGGACCAGCCGCCGTCCCTTTCCCTCGTCAACGGTGCTAACGCCGAAGCTTGGTACTCACGACGAGAGCGTTTCAGCTATGTTTTTCGCTTTCATCAACTTTCATGTGCGCAAATTTTGTAATTTTTTCACCCCATGCATGGGATTCGAACTCACGACCTTTCTTTGCGTACCCACTAGTTAGTCTAGATAGATAGATAGATAGATAGGTAGACCCACCGGGCGGGGCATGTACGTTGTATGTATGTGCGTATGTATGCCGACGTACTGCTGATGATGCACGTACTACGTTCGTTCATCGTGAGCACGCGAAAAATCTGACAACACTACTAGAAGCAACTTCGATAGAGTGGATTCGTTGGGTCATAGTAGTAATGGTTTGCGGAGTAGCCGGCGTTTCGGATCCAGCCGTTGTGCACTTAGACATATAACCCGACAGGACTTGAGGAGGACGGGTTATAAAGCTTTAGAGACCGTGCTGCTCTGCTCCCTCCTGTGGTTCACGTACTGATACAGGGCGGCTTCTATTCCAATATCTCACGTGTGCGTGTGCTGCATTCCGTTTTGGTACGTACGTGGCCTGCGGTGGTACAAGTTGAACAAACCCTCACCAACGTGCGTGCAAGCCAAACTGTTCGTGTACACCTGCCACCGTTCGCCAGCCGAAGCTCGCCTACGCATGTATGTATGCTGAAACCGTGACTACCGGGGTCAACACGCGGAAAACAGTAAGTAGTA